ACCTCCAATCAAATGCATTACACTCTAAGAGCAGAGATCTTGAACTTAATGGAAGTGGTGTGTGCTGTTGTATAGGGTAAAGTTGCTGCACTTGTTACTACATAACATGTGTGCAGTCTCCACCTTGCGACGCAACGCCTATTAACAGAACACAATTGCGTACAATCAACGACCCACCTCACAATCACTATAAACACAATCCAGAGCATACCATCCAGACATGCTCAATTAACCACCTACCCACGTAATCCCAATAAAACTGGCGTCTGGGTACTGTGGGTGTGAAGTGTAGACTTTCTCCCCCATTGTGCCGTCTTGATGACCTAACGACGTGGTGTCGTGCATTCGATAAAAGTGTCGCGGGTATCGGTTTTGTTTAAGGTCACTGGTTGAAATCGAGATAGAGCCCACGGAGGACTCCCAGGATGCCAGTCAACCTCGTTCCACCCCCGCACCCGATCCTTGCCTTTGCCCCTCGGCCCATAATCAGTCCTTGCTGGTCCTGGCCCTGAGACTGAAGTCCTGGTCGCTAACTCAGCCCACACACTTGCAGTGGAGTGGCTCGACCTAGCCCTGTCAGCAACCTCAACTTCTTCCTCAAATTCTTCAAGTTCTTCATCAACTTCTTATTCAACTTTTTCTGCTTGGATTGACCGACTCCAATGCGAGTACAGTCCTTCAGCCCTGCAGCAGCATGTCCCGTGTTTGATGGGAGATCTCAGGCCACGTTTTCAGGGGACCCCGGCTCTCATCTATTAACCTGGCGGTTGTATTTCTCCCTTCTTCTCACTATCTCTCTCACGAGTTTTCTCCCTCTCCCGTGCTTTGTGCTCACCTTTCACGCAGTTTTTCTTTCCTTTGCAGTTGTAGAATTAGCATGGTCAACCCATGCCATCCATATCACACACACACACCCCAATGTCCTTACCTTACAATGTCATGGCGCTATGCATAAAAAGGCAGAAAAATTTAACATCAACCAAGGAAAGAAGAACCGAGGAAGACATTTGAGAATAACTAAAGAGAGATAAAACCAGTCTAAACAGAGATATTTTTAAGTTGAGATTTGGAGATCTGGAAGTGTCCCGTAAGTCCCCTGACCTCGAAGGGGCAATGAGTTCCAGAGTTTAGGTGCCGCAATTGCCAAGGTGCCGTCATCACTCCCAAAGTGTGAAGCCTGGAGGCCGTAGCAACAATGAGCAATGCACAATGTGAGGATCACCGCAATGTCCTTACCATTACGTGTACATACGTGTCGTCTCGTATAACGAGCAAGATGCATTCCGCGAAAATTTCTTGGTAAGCGAAAACTCGTTAAATGACCACCGTTTTCCCATTGATCCTCTCCCATGTTGCAAGCTGAGATACGTTTCGGCCTTAAAATGTTCCCACTCTTGAATAAACTTTTTTTCTCACGCTGGAAATACAAATCATGAATTTTAAAATAAAACAATAAAAAATGTAAAACTGACCACACTCGAAGAACCATAGCACTTGCGGGTGTCGTGCATTTGTGTTGTGTGAAGAGTAGTACATGATGTTAGTCGGTGGAGGGAGTAGAAGGGGCCCATGCAGGATCGCTGGTTCAAATATCACTCGCCACTGATCTTAGCCGTGGTTCTGAATCGAACCAGGGTCGCTGTCATCACCCCCAAGTGTGAAGCCTGGAGACCATGGTGACAGTGAGCAATGCACGATGTGAGGATCTTAATGATCTCGATGGAATATACATGGCTGAAGGTCATGGATGTAGGGAGGAACAGGTCGTAGACATCCCACAACACCAAAGTGCATTGTAGCTCGGACAAACAATTGCACGGTTATTATTTATTTTTGTTAATGATGCCTCAAAAACCTGAAATTCAATTTCTTTCCGAAATGTCCCGTGGTTACTCTTCCATTGAAATCACCATCCAATGTTAAGGTTTCAATTCTGTATAACGTCACCTTATATATAAAAGGGACATTTGTGGATATGTGTGTGTGTGTGTCTGTTCGAAATGTTTAGCATACTTCCTAACATGGAACAAACTTGAAATTTGGCATGTGGGTACGTTCCATACTGTACACAATGTAAAAAGTATAAAATATAAAAATATGTATATGGGAGGGGGGGGGGTGACCATGAAGTATGTGGCGTCAACCTGCAACACACCTGAGTTAAGCGGTCTGTAATGCTTTCCCCTACCAATGCTTACCCCTACCATATGGCTCTTCGCACGCCGTAGTTCTAGAGCTGTTAACAGCGTGCCGGGAGACTTTATGTGGCGCTTCGTTCCTGGCCGATGAAGCCATTGGCTTCTCGGAGTTTGAATGCATATCCGTGTGAAGAACAGGTACAACTGCTATCTTAAATATAAAGCAGAAAATGCATCTGTTTGTGTGAAGCAGCAAAAACTCTCGAACGCTGAGCTCACGTCATGAAATTTGCACAGCTGATGCTGTCTGGAATTTCTAAGTGAACGCGACTATTTTCAACTCGCCCACGTCATTCCCTTCCCGAGTTGCCAAAATCGACCTTACGTATAAGTGGGTTAAGGTTGAATTTCCTTGAGTGAAAAACATCAGATTTAGTTACGTTCATTTGTTTAGGATTTTTTCTTTCTTCAGGGTTTTTCAGACAATAATCCAAGACCCGGGCAAAGCCGGGTAGTAAAGCTAGTATTGTATAGACAATATACACCTCTGTTCACATACTAGTGCGATACTTACCGTTGATATATTTTTCCGTCACTTAATTTAGCTATAAATGGTTTAAAAAAGTAATTTGTCTGAGCCAATTGTCGCTGAAGGAAACGTATTTGTTTTAATATTGATATTTACACCGTGTTCAGTCTCTTCCGTAAGTAGCATTCTTTTTGACTCTAGTTTATATTTGGTTGTCTTTGCTATGATTTATACTTGCTGCGTTAATGTGCAGTAGAACCCATCCTCTTAACGACGGTAATTGGTTCCACGAAACCGTTCGTTCAGTGATTTGGTCAGTAAACGAGTATCGCAAACACACGTCCCCTATCATTCGTTCTGATAGCATCGAACATTGCCCCTTTTTCACTCCATATAATTACTTTCTAATTTTTAAACAATTGATATTAATACATAAGTATACTAAAAACATTATTAACATATAATTAAAGAAGAATGTATTTATGAATACTTCCTCTACCTACATCAGCCTGTCGTTAACAGGGGAATAGTCAGTAAGGGAATACATTGGGTTCTATAGAGGCACTGCAATACTATACACTACTATACACTATACTACTGTAGGACTCGTACTCTCGTTGTCTTTCTTGTCTCGTTTATTCACGCATAGAGTTCACACCTCCTCCTCATCATCGCTCCGTGTCTCTCCATTCGCTCCGATGCCCAACCCGCCATTAACAACACTCCATGTCTCCCCGTTCGCTCGCTCCGCTCCGTGACTTCGCTCACTCACTCTCATTCTCTCCCAAGGTCCATTACTCCGCTGCTACCCTACTCTGTACTCACTCCATCCACTGCTACCACTGCTACCGTACACTGTATTCTCTCTAGCCACTGCTACCATACACTGTGTTCTCTCTATCCACTGCTACCGTACACTGTGTTCTCTCTATCCACTGCTACCGTACACCGTGTTCTCTCTATCCACTGCTACCGTACACTGTGTTCTCTCTATCCACCCTTATCATATCTATTCCTGCTCACTGCTGCTCCGTCTCTGTCCCGGGCACCAACCACTCCAACTCCAACACCAACCAAGGCTCCCATCTATCCGTTACGCTGTGCCCTTTATCCCTGCACTGATCAATCCCAATCAATTATCTCACCCCCCGCTTTGCTACTCGCCCCCAGGCCCCCAGCCTCACGTGACCATGTTATTGCCGCCAGGCCGGCGCCGGTCATTAGCCACTCACCCTCCTGACCAATCACCGGCCTGCGTCCTCAGTCACCCCTAACACCTGTCGCGTCTCTTAACGACCCCCCCTTAATGCCACGACAACAACAACCGTGTCCTTAGATGCTCCCACTGTACTATGCTCGCTTGCCTAGCAACAGAACGCGTGGCGCGTGATATTTCAAGTCCTACACTACTATACACTACACCAGGGGTCGGCAACCAAAATAACAAGAAGAGCCATTTCTTTCCAATTCGGTACAAAATTCAGTATTTCAAGAGCCACAATGCATCTGAGTACATACTGTACATACGTACATATCGTCAAGAAGCAGCCCGTAAAGAGCCGCATGCGGCTCCGGAGCCGTAGGTTGCCGACCCCTGCACTACACTATACACTTCACATCGGGCTCTATGGAAGCCTGTCGACAAGCGATTAGTTGTTAACAGGGGTGGTTGTTGAGAGGGGCTCTTCTGTACTTTTTTTATGCTATTGCTCTAGTCACATTGGGCACTGATCACTTTCTTGGTCTCTTGACTTTCACCCAGTTAAACAAAATACAATAAATGAAACACCGGAGAACGATATAAAATCAGCTCAAATCAATATGCTATCTATACACGGATTACCCTGCATTGTGGCGACCACCTGTCATGAGTTTTTCAGGATTGTTCTCTCGTTAGGGTCATTATCCTGGGGAATCTGTCGGTCTAGGACTTTGAATTTGGATATTTAAAAATGAATTTTGTAAGTTGTGTAATAATACACCACACTAGCAGGCCATGTGGGCTGGTACTGCGACTAACAAACTACTGGTTACCACCGAGCGACATCATCTCCCACTAGTAGGCAAGTGGCAACTTTCAGTCTGGGTTCACACCTTGTGCCACACTGGGACAGCTGCTACCATGGGGTAACACTATGACCCCTGAGCATGACACTACAGCAGGGCATCTCGCACCCCCCGCGGATGCGTGCACCCCAGGTTAAGAACCACTGGATTACAGTAACACCTCAAAGATTAACTCGGATGGTACTAGACATTGCCACTGTCATGATGAGTGACCGTTGTTGTTTGTTTGTGGTTTACGTCTCCGCATTGCTCTCCTGATTGCGCAGGTCATGACGGAGTTGTTTGACGAGAAGCTGAAGGCGATCGAGAATCACACAGACGAGAACATAGCCAACATAAAGTGTAACTTCGTGAAGAAAATGATGGAGTTTTTTCAGCAAAAGTGAAAGTGTGTGATCTGTTAATACCATATTATTAAAATTTAAAGACATTGTGAATTTAGGGTATACTTTGTCAAGTGTCTTATAACGTGGAGGATATAGCAGAGCTTAATCAAATGTGAATACGGGTACGGGCTTGCTTTGGAATTTTAAATTCATGGTTGCAAAATCCTCAAACCGTTACACTGCATTGTAAGCGTGTAATGAAGAAAATGGGAGCAGACTCACTCATCCTACAAGAGAGCTTTTAGGATGAGGGGGTCTTGGAGAAACATCTTCCAGATGATGATTATGAATGTGCTGCTTTGAAATGTGGACAGATTCCGTCTGGAACATGTTTTATGTCTTAATGGCCAGTGATGGTGTTTTCTGTCCTTTGGCTGCTAATGCATTGCTATGGAGGACCATCTCCTGGAATATGTTTCTGAACAACTAATTAAACATATTCTTTGGTTCTTTCGGTAAAGTCACGTCGGTAGAAAAATAAAATAATATATCATTAAAACATATCTTCCTGAAGATACTGTATTGTTTGTATTAATTAAGACCCCCCAATTTGTGTCTTATAAAGCAGAGCACATAATTAGAGGATTCCCTGATAGCATTTTTATGATGCAATATTAAGGTTTTTGGGGGGGTTAGATCGCGTAAATATAAATGTGTCCTTAAAGCCGCCAGCACCACCCAACAAAGCCAAGTAGTAAGGTTTGTAAAGTAAACAAAACGTAGTTAATCTGTCACTAGTTCAGCACTAACCGGTGTGTGTGTGTTGGAGGGTAAACCCACTACAACATTTACAATTCGAGTACCTGGTGACATATCGCTAGTAATTACAACAACAACCAGCAGCATCATCAGGTAACAGCCCAGAGTTGTGGAGAAATCCTCCTGCTGTTTTGATCTTAAATAGACGGGGGTAAATGTAATGTCGTCACTGTGTGCCTATCAGGTGCAAAGATCCGGGGGGTTTAATGTGTTTATAGATACAGACAGTTCCCGGGTTGTGGAAGACCCGACTTATGGAAGTCCGCGCTGGCAGAAATGCTCCCATAAATCATGTTGGGGAAAAATCAATGCGCTGCAATGTTTGCGTTAGTTACGTAAGTGCAAGTAGTGCAGCGCGGTGAGGTTGCGGATGAATACCGCGGAGCGAGGCGTAGAGGCAGGGCTCCAGCTCCCTCTGCAGCTCTCTCTGCAGCCCTGCCTTTAAAACAACGTATGTCTGATGTTGACCCCGATGATTGTAATGCCCGTCTCCTCTCCTTCCTCCTCTAGCAATTAAGTCATTCGTCATTAACAACTATTTCCAGCTATGGGATTTTATCTTGACTTTGGGGGAAAATTGGTCAGTTTCCGATGTACGGAAAGTTCGGGTGACGGATCGTTCTCGGGAACCTGACCCTTCCATAACCCGGGGACTGTCTGTATATAGATACGTCAGTTTCCAATATCTTTGTTATTATAATTTACAAATTTGTTATATCGTTTTTGTTCTTTGCTCTGCTTTCAGTAAGAATAAAGGTGACTTAAAAATGTATTCAACAGCACTTCTCACAACATGAGCCTGCCATCAGTCTTCTGATCGTTGCACCTTTGCAATCTATAACACGTACAATCTGTACGCCGTGAAGTTACACAAAACACAATTAAATAAATAATGTAACATATTGCGGCATCAGCTACTCAAGATAACAACATGTAGCAGAGTACCAGTTTAATGACCACTACCCCTATCACTACACCTACCCCAACCCCTATCACTAAATCTATCATTACCACTATCACTACCCTTATCACTACCCCTATCACTACGCCAACCCCTGTCACCACCCTTATCACTACACCTACCCCAACCACTATCAATACCAGTTTAACATGTACCCCAGCCCACCGATACTATATACAAATGGACACCCGCGCAAAGAGAAAAAAAAACAACCAGAGTAGGGCAAACCAATAACACCGCACACGCAGACGCACGCGCCCCCGGCACACCCACAATCCGCGGTAGCCACGTCGTGTGTCACCACCCGTCGGTACAATAAAGGATTGCGGAGTCGTCACACGTGCGGCACCTGGGGATTCACAGAACTCCGCTGAGGGTTAATCCCCGCGGGCTCGCAACCTGGCTCGTCGGACACATCACACACATGGCCCCTGCGTTGTGGAGATGGAGTGAAAATGCGCGGGGAAATGAAGGGTTTTAGGCGCGATGGGTGAACATACCAGCACCTCCGGCCCCACTGAACCTTAATGCACTGCGGGCAGATGACCCGAACGACGTCGACAGGACTCCTCCAGGGTCTCAGCAATTTGGGCGACGTGGCCAATGGTATCTGCGGGCAGTGGAGCCAGGCCCTGTCACTTGCAACCCAGACGTGTCCGGATGCACGGAGGCCCCGCAGCCGTTCATTGGCCAATTGGCACAAATTAGAATTTTCCCTTGCCGCCTCCCGTGCTTCCGTCAGCTTTTGAATATTGAAACTTATGTGGTCCGAGATCTTAGATTTGGAGTTGTTGGATGTGACCCGCAGCCGCACTTCAACTGGGGGGTCGACGTCCCTGACATACATTAAAAAGAATGGCGAACAGCCGGTTGCCGCATGAGGGGCCATCCGATATGCGGCCAGAACACCGAGAATTTGCAAATCACAATCAAGTTGTGACTCGCTGACCTAGGGGTGGTATGGCGACGTATGATTTTCTGCATACCCAAATGGTCGCATACTTCACGCAGTAAGGTGGAAGAAAACATTTTCCGTTTGTCAGTCAATAGACGCTCAGGAGCACCCTTGTATTGACGCGCGCTGCCATCCCATTTTATCAAGAGGCCATCACGCAAGATAACAGACGCGAATCCCCCACGGCCCTTATCCTCATCGGGCCACATAGTGCGGCGGCGAAACTTCAGAAGGGAAACGTCCTCCATTGTGAGGCGTCCCCAATCAGCGAGGTCGAAGCCGAGAACGGAATTCCATGCGACAGGCTTGTCAGCCCCCTTGGAGGAACCCACCCCTGAGGAAGCCACTTCGGCCGACGCCGTGAGGAGTGGGGGTGAGCTGTCTACTGGCTGCTTACAGTGCCCCGAGCCCAAGAAGCATGCTCACCCGTCGCTCGGTGGTAACCACGACAAAGCGTCGGCGTTCGAGTGCTGGGTACCATTCTGGTAGGTGACAGTTAACAAATAGTCCTGTAGGACTTTGAGCCAGCGAGAAAGTTCACCGTATGGTTGGTCAACTCGCCGCGTGATCAGACCGCACCGTAAACCGTCTGCCATATAGATATGGCCAGTATTGCTGCACAACAAAAACGATGGCTAGCAGCTCTTGGCGCGTAACGCAGTAGTGTTGCTCCGCCGGGGACAGCACTCTGATGCCATATGCAATGACGCATTCTTCCCCGTCCACGACCTGCGACAAAACCCCGCCAATGCCGGTGTTGCTGGCATCCATGTTGAGGATGAACGGCGCGGCAAATTTGGGGTAGCGTAGGGGAGGGGCATCGACCAATGCCTCACGAAGCACAACAAATGCAGCCTCCTCCTCCCAATGAAATTTTTGGCCCTTGGCCATCAGCGCGTGGAGGAGCTTAGCGATGGAAGCATACCCCGCTCAAACCAACGATGAAATTCAAAAACGTCCTGATGCAAGCCGTCTTCTCCGGGTCAGTGGCAATGCCTGATTGGCTGACAATGTGTCCGAGGTACCGCACGGATTCCCGCAAGAGGTGACATTTTTGGGGCTTGAATTTGAGATTGGCCGCTTGCATTTTAACAAAGACAACCCTCAAGCGATCTAGGTGTTCTTCAAATGTGCGGCTAAAGACGATGACATCGTCCAAATATATCAGACACGAGTTCCACTGAAGCCCAGCGAGGACCAGTTCCATTAGATGCTGGAATATCGCTGGAGCAGAGTGGAGACCCATTAGGAGCTAGTTGAATTCAAAAAGGCCCTGTGGCGTACGAAAGGCCGTTTTGGGGTTGGAGGCCTCGTGCAGAGGCAATTGCCAAAAGCCGGACAGAAGGTCCAGTGTGGAAATTAACGTGCACCAGCCAGGACGTCCAGGGATTCGTCCATCCGAGGAAGGAGATAAGTGTCCGCAATTGAAATTTTATTCAGTTTGCGAAAATCTACACAAAATTGCAAGCTGCCATCATGTTTTTTAATGAGGACGATCAGGGCCCCCCATGGGCTGGTGGATGGCGAAATGATGTCCGTAGCAGAATGTCATTCACAGCCAATCGGACATGCTCTTTTTCCGATAGGGGTTCTGCCAGATGGGAGCAGCGTTAGCCGTGTCAATATGATGGCTTAATAAGTTACAGCGGCCAATGTCAAATTTACCCTTGCTAAAAAGTCAGTAAATTCCCACAAGAGCGCCCGCAACTTTTCCCTCTGGGATTCTGACAGGTTGCCAGCCTCTTAGCAAAGTGAATTCAACCACCGTTCATCCAGATCCGAGTGCGGCTGCTCCACAACTGAGTCACCTTGGAATGCCGGTGTCGCGTGAGCGAGCACGGTACCGTGGTATGATGGAAGTCCGCAAGCTGGCATTCAAGACCTGGATGAAGGGCTCCCTGTCATTGGACACAACGGTTTGTGCCCCGAGCAGCTCCAACCCCCGCACAGCCGTGTTCGACGGACCCAAAGAGGATCCCCACGCCGTCGCAACCGAATCAAGTGGTTTGCGCAAGCAAAGGGGAACAAGCATTTGCGCTCAAGGGGGAATGCGCACCATCCAGAACGTCAGCGCTTGCACGGTGGCATAGGCCATACGCGACCGACTGAGGGAGGGCAAGAATGTGAACCGACAGCCGGACGGCAATTCAATGCATGCCTGGTCGATCAAAATTTTGATTGGCATCTTACCCAAGAAATCAGTTCCCAGTTAGCACAGAACGGCAAGGGATGAGAAAACCAGAATCGGACCCGTTAATTTAATATCCCCAATACAAATTTGGGCAGTAATTTGGCCAACGATGCCCAATGAACCCCCGTTGGCGGCGAAGCATGGCACCTCAATGGGGTATAGGGGGCGGCATTTCTCGGGTAGGATGTTTTAAATTAATTCCGAAATTATGGTCGCCAACGCACCCATATCGACTAGCATCTGGAAAACAACCCCCTCGATAGAACCAATAACAACCGAGGATCCCACGGTCGTGGCAACAACCATATGAGTCAGCTCCGACCACTGAACTGGTCAGAGCCGCCAGGCGGATTGAGCGCATTCCGGCCCCCCTACACCCGATGCACGACGAACGCGCGAGCTGGCACAACGAGATGCATGAGGTGAAGGCACGGGAGTGTGTATGGTGCCGCGGCTCGCTTCAGGTTGCAGCAGAGACAAGGATGGGCGAGGGGATGACGGCTGAGGTCCGGAGAAACGACGTCGTTGAGCTCCCACTCTCATCTACTTTTATGCTACATTGAGGTCTTCCGTGACCCTTGCCCCAGTTCCACCACCTGCCGACACACCCGTGTATGTGCTCACCTGTGTGTGTAGTGTTTGTCCACTGCAGTTGCCGCTGCTGGTCACCAGCCAGCGCTATTACACGATATCACCCCCCACCCCGCCCCCGTTAAAAAAAAAACAGCCTTCCCAGCTGACATACAGCAACTGCAACCGGGTGGACAGGCAGAGCAAACCCCTAAAACTGAGGAACATCATCATCACACAAAAAATGATAGTCGCAACCATTTGTCAGCTTAAATACTGCCTCCTGTTTATGTGTCTCACTTTTTTCCAACCACTTGCCATCACCTGCACACAGCGCTCTCTCCGTCCCATAACCCCCTGCAGCAGTGGCGGCTCGTCAATAGAGGGCGCAGGGGCGCCGCCCCCATCAATATTCAAGAAATATACATATACAAAATTTATATAAAAATACATAAATAAAATATTTTTTTCATACGATGTGCCGGCTGGTAGTAAGAAAAGCATCAGCATTTAATAAAAACTGGCTTTAATCGGTCAACTATTTTCTATGTTTTTCAATGTGTTTCATGCGGGGCGCCGGACAAATGGATGTCTATGTGAGACTTTAAATTTTCGGACAGCATGTGACCTGAAGCTGGTCTCTAATTGGTTTCTTAAAGATTCTCCTCGGGGCGCAAGTCGTTGCGTCCCTGGCCAATCAGAATTGGATACATGTTATTTTATCCAATCTGATTGGTTCTCGTCACCTGTCATTCAAATTTACGCTCTGGGCCACTACTGCGAGTGCGCAGGCGACACCACTTTGACACTTGCTAGGCTGATCAAATTTTTTGTGTAAACAATGGCAGCAGTTCATCCAAATTCTCTAATTTATTTACAAAAAAACCCTTTCACAAGGCTTTCGCTGGAAGAAATAAAAAAGATAAAGGATCTCGGACAGGACCAACCCGATTTACAAATCCAGCAGCAGGCCAGTGACAGAGGACGAAGCTACACACGAAGCTTCACCCGCGCTTGTTATGAGAAACGGAGGTGGCTGGCTGGATGTGATGTTAGCAATTCTCTTTTTTGTTTACCCTGTCTTTTATTTCAA